ATTTAACATGGATGTCAATGGAGATTTTGGAGCTTTTATAACCTGCCTCAAGTGGACACTTGATGAACTGCAGTTTCTGTGCATTTGCACATTAGCTTTATCCTCAACAATGGAGGGTACAGCTTGGTGCTATACATCCCACTCATTTAGTAGTTGCTTATGGCTTACACTCCATGGTGTCCCCATTAGTGTTTTATCCCAGTAAAATGCACACTGGATGCAGAAAGTTTGTGAATGTTTAACAGTCAAGATGCAGCCAGTTTCCTTAATGAGCACAAGATTAAAAGCATCTACCTGTTGGTTCTAAACTAAAGGAAAAACACAAGTTGTTTTTTTACGTTAAAATATTCAGACACAGTCTGATGAGTCACCACATTAATGTCCTTAAAGATGTGAAAAGTTGTGGTGACAAATCCACTTACCACCAGAAGTCCCTAAGTAACAGTAACAGGTTGCCCTTTTAATGTAAATCCACTTACTGCCTTTGCTGCTTTCTTCTGCTGACTCAGGACCTCAGACACACTTCAGTCAGACGCTTCTCACTCGGATCTGAATAGTTTCCACTGCAGTAACGATCTGGCGCATCCCAAGCCTTGTTGCCGTGCCTCTTTAATGAACTGTCGTGCCACCAAAGAGGTTATTCATGGACTAATTTAATAGTTTGTAGGGGTTTATTGACAGGCTGTACCACAACAGCAGTTAGAGGAAATTTATGAGACACATGTCTGAGCTCTTTGTGGGATAATGAACTCATCTAACTGTAAAAGTCCTGTGGCTTTCAAATAGACCCCATCTTTTCCTTTTTGTTGCACAATAAACAAGTACTGAGAAAAACACAATCAACACTTAATGAATGCAAACTGTTTATCATGAACTTTGTATTCCTGCTGGGAGGTGAGCCAAATCTAATTTGTTCAGCATCTAAAAACCGGTGAGCTTGATGTCAAAACTTCAGAACTGCTGTTCAATATGCAAAATGAAAATAGTATTTGTGCTGTTGTGAATGGATTGGCTGTATTTTTTAGTGAAGTAATTGTCAGTTTGTATCATGTCTTGGCTTTCTTTGTACCTTGCTGGTTTTCTTTAGCTGCTGGCTCATCCTGACACGTTAATCATCAGAGGCTTCACATTAGTTGTCTGTGAAGCAGCAGGGGAGATGTGAGCATGGGAAGGCTTATCACGTATGAAAGGACTAGCTGGACGCCCCGTTGCGGTGACTTACTCCATGCAGAACATTGTCTGGGTCTATTGAGCATGCAGCTTGATCTCCGACTGAGGTGTTTACTGTGTGTGAATTATCATGTTTCTTATTTAGAAGGTTGGTATTTCATGGTGCAATGACTCTTTAATTTACATGACTCTTAAGTTGCATTGTGCCACAAAAAAGTTCAAAATGAGCAGGACATTGTGCAAACACATTTTGCCAAACACACACTCCACTGCAACACTTCTCCTTACAGCCTTTTGAAATGCTTCTCTCAGTTGACTATTTACTGAACCCTCTCTCTAAAACAGTGCTCAAGCTTGGCACAGCTGGCCTGTTGGATTTTGAGTTTGTTCACACTGAAGAGACGTGGATGGAGAGCTTCACAGTCAGAGTCAGAAGAGCTTGGTCTTTTTTATTCCCAGAGCCAAAAAACAACAAAACTGTGAAAGAATAAAAAATGTACCACTCTTTGTCTGCTTTAGCATTGATGCATAAACTCCTGAAATCTCTAAGGTTAATATAAGCAAAGGCAGAAAGAGTGCCAGAACTGTTAATATATGTAGGTGTTTTACACAAAACACCTAGTTGTCAACCAAAATTCAAACAATTAAGAAAACCCTATCTAAAAATCATGAAAAGCCCTAAATCATGTAAACGTATATTTCCTCAATAAATGCATAAAAGTCAGGATGCCACTTAAATTGTGTAGTGTCATCCAGGGTGAAAATATTCAATATTTTTGTTTTCTCGATCTTCAGTGTTGCACTTTGTAGAAAGTCCTTTTGCATGTGGCAGTTGAGAAAAGGCTGGTGTTGTTTATCTGACTATTTTCTCACTGATAAATATCAGTTTGAAACTCACTTTAATGGCAGGAGCTATCTGACAACAGTTGAGGCAGGTTATTACAAACATACTACCAAGTTGTCTGCAGGTAAAAATTGCACCAGGCTAAATAAGTTCTTGATGGTTAAGACATGAAAACAGGAGGATAATAATTAACATGCATTACCTTGACTTTTACTTACATGTCATGCACACAAGTGCCCAACCTTCATGGGTTAACAAGACACCAAAAACCCAGTTACAGCGCTTTAAACACCTCAAATTCTTAAGAATTATTATTAAAGTCGCATCCTTCTTTTACAGCTTGTTGTCAAACTCTACATTCTGCCTTTTTCCCAAGGCTTTGTAGATAAAATCTGATACAAAAAAGGTTCCTCTTGTGAAACACAATTCATTTTTTCCATAATCATCCAAACAAAAAAAAGAATTTTTTTGAAAAACATCCCTTAAGTCGTCATAGACTTGACAGTAAAACAGAAAGTGAATCTTATTTTTAAGTTCACCTGTCAAACAACAAACAGATTCGGTCCTCCTCCTCAGGTGTGGCCTGTAACCTGCCTGTCTCTAAAGCTGAAGGAAAGGTTCCTGAGTGCATCTATGCAAAGAGAGATCTTTGCATTTTGGTTAAATTATATTGATCGTAAGATTCCTCACCATATCTACGCTTTATTAGATGATTATGAGCTTCATTTCCTCAAAGGCCACCGTCACTTCCTCAACAAGAGGGTGAGCAAGGGTGCATTTCACTCAAGAGTCTGATTATCACTTAATATTCCCATTAATAATCTTTTCTTTTGGCAAGTGCGATGAGATATAATTTTCCAGTTTTTTTTTTTTTTTTTAATATAATCACTACCGCTGAATTTATTCATTAGTGATTGGCAGTTTGGAGGAGCACTAACCAGCACTGTTACTTTCACATCTATGCCCACTAAATTACTTTATTCTATGGAAACGAATGTTTTTTTGTTGTTGTTTTTGTTTTGTTTTTTTTTGCACCAGTTTCAATAAGCAGAGGTGAGGTCCTCTCAGTGATTGATTTGATATTGCACATGTAATAAGCTTGTCCTTTGCAACACCACTGCTGTTGATTTAACTACCCTTATAATAGGATTTGACCGGTCAGATTCAAGTGTTTTACATCTGGGAAACCAGAGTAGATAACAGCCAGTTACTGACACATTATCCCTGCGCAGAAACAGTTTTTTTTTCCCTCCCAAGATACAAGTTGGACTCACTGACATATGTAAGGAGGAGAAAGTCCTGGCTGCTGGCCTGTCATTTATAACTAATTAGAAAACAGCTGGCTGCCATGACGGCCCAGAAAAAATGGTCATCATTAGTCTTGGTCATTAACTGTTCAGGATGGTGATGGATATTGTGAACTGTAAAAGTTTTACTAAATTGTGAGTCATGAATTTGCACAAAGACACAGATAACACTGAATTTCTAATCAATTGTAATTTTTATTTTTGGCAGGGTTCATATCTTAGCGGTCTTTATCATTTTTCCAAGCTAACTAAAGAAGGAAATATTGATGATTAAGAAGCTAAAGCTCCTGTCTGCCGGTTTTCTGACCTTAACTCACATGCTCAGTCCAAAGGTTAATGAAACTGTGGCTGAAACTTTGCCTTGGATATTTCTTTGACCTCAGCGTGCTGACACAGAAAATGGTTACAAAGGTCTGCCTAGGTGAACTGCTCTTTTGCACACGTGAAAACCAGAACTGATACAGAGATCTTACATAACACAACACACGAGACTTATAAACCATCAACAAATAAGGTCAGAATAAAAAACCTTTTCAGTGTCTCCAAAGTTCCTTCAGATTTTGCTTTTTTAATGCTCTTTCTGTCTATCCTGGCTCATGTTTGACCCATGAACTCATTAAGCTGGAACTTGGTTTCCCAGAATACTTGTCCTGCATGTGCCCCATTGTTGTGTGAGTGACACCATAACCAACACTGCACGTGATAGGATGTTAAACCACTGCAATCAGATTGTGACACCACACTAAGCCTGGAGAGACTGGGTCATGATGACCTTACACTGGCTGCTGCAGGTAGGAAAAAATATGTGACTTTCAATCTCATTAAATCACTACATTCAATCTTCTTTTCTTTTGTGATTCACTTTTTCTCTGTGATCTTTTAGAGTTGTTGATGTAGAGGTTTAAACACACAGCAGATGGGTAATTCCAGTAATTCATAATGTCTGGAAGTTCTTTGTTGGTACATGCTGATCTTAATCCTGTCACATCTGCTAGATCTAATGTGTTTGCTGTGATACGAAGAAATAAAGAGCAGCTGAGGATGGAAAGGTTTATCCGTCAGCAGGTGTAAACACAGCTGTTTTTAACTCCTCACAGTCTGAGATTTCTAAGAATGATCTCCGGTCATTAATGATCAACTCAACTTCAATAAAGATGACACTTAAATAGCAGACTAATTCCTGGAAGTTTTGTTTAAACAGGTGGATTTATTCAGCCCGGTCCAGGTGTTTCACTGTTTGCTCAGTTAATTGCAGGTTCATTAGGTGAATATGAGATTAATGCTGTAAATAAGGACACTCACACCTACCTCTACTATTTGGATTCACAGTCTCATGGTTTTACCATCATGTATGAAAAAGATAACACTTCCTTACCCGTTTATTTCTTCTGCCTGAAATACTAGAAGCTTGTAGAGACGAGCAGGGCTTGACTATACCGCTGTTAACAGAACATTTATCTTGAATAATTCATCATTTCTTCATATAGGCTAGCGTTTCGCTTGCTTTATTTTACTCAGGAATTAATCAATGCTGCAAGTTTAAATTAATGCATGTTTTGAGTTAGATTATATGATTAATGAATGAAAAAAATGGTAGGATTTTGTTACATGAAAATGCCTAAATGTTATTCTTTTATTGATTTCATCCTTAGATTTAATCATCACAGTAAACCACCACCATGAACTCCCCAGTGAAAACTCAGAGGGTGAGGGTATCTCAAGCACCATCAACTGCTCTCGATGGAGGCCACGCCTGGTTCATCCTGCTCTCCTGCTTCCTGGTTTTTGGATTGACATTTGGGGTCATTAAATCTTTTGGAGTTTTCTACGTGGAAATTCATCAGTACTTTGAAACCACAGCAACAGAAACATCTTGGATCACCGCTATTGCTGTGGCTACCATTCATGTTATTGGTGAATATCATGATCTCCTCGTACATCTGTCTTTAATATTATGTTGAACAGCAGGAAACAGTTTACAGATATTTCACCCTGGAAATTTAGAGTTTTTTAATTGCTTCTTTATTGAGTTTTATTGGGTCAAACCCACACAGGAATAATATAGTAAGTGTAAATCCCAGGTTCATGTTAAAGATCACAACATAAAGATGGATGTTCAAGGCTTCGGTTGAAGGTGATAGTAGGTTGCTGTGAATCGGAGGTCTTGGAGGTAGCTTTTTTATGTTTAAGAAGACTTATGGTTTCTGTCAGAGGTGGTGGGTGGAGTCAGCTGCTTAGTTCGCTGTAAGTTTCAAAAGTAGAAACATTCTGTGGAGGGTTGTCTGCAGCTGAAAGGCAAGCAAGAAATAAACAAGTGGAGGATGAGACTCATGGTTAACATCATGATTGTATTTTGCTTTTGACTTGTTTTTGTTTTAATGTGCTTTTATCCACATATTTTACAGCACTTTGATGGAAAGCACTTTAAAAAATAAATGTATTATTATTATCAAAGAGTTTTTTTTAGATAAGTTAGTACCTCATACTCATTACAAAGGCAGCAGTTGCTGTCTATTAGAGGCCCACGTTGGAGGTGTGGACTTGGGCATATAGGAACAGGGCAGGTGGAGGCAGCTGCAGTTTACTGGCAGGGACTGGGTTGGAGGCATTGGAAGCAGCTATCTTTCATGTGACACAGGTAAAGGCTGCAGGTGGAGACAGGGACCAGAGGCCTTTGGCATAGGCTTCTAACACTGATCATTAGCGCTGCAGGTGGAGACATGGTTGATATTTGGAGGAGGAAGCCAACAGACACCAACTACAAGCTTGCATTTGATTTATACCTTACATTTGATTGTAGATTCAGCAGGTTGAAGCAGTGGCTGGAGGTGATGGCTTCAGTTGGAGGTCACGCTGCAGCTTAGGCCACAATTTTCAGGCAGAGCGTCAAGCTGATGAATGCTGGCTGGAGCTGCAAGTGATGGAAACAAAGAGGAACATTAGCAAAGACCGAGTATGAGGATGGGCTTTGGCTTTCAGCTGCAAAATGCAAGTGGTGTCATATGATGTCAGTGTTTGTCAGATCCTGTGGTTGAAAGTGACAAACTGCCGGTAAAGACAGGTGACATTTGCTGGGAGAGGCTGAATTTGAGGTAGAGGAGGCAGCTGTCATTTTGTGCAGGTAGGCTGCAGCAGGAAACTTTCGGCTCTTTTCTGTTGACTGTTAATTTCAAGCATCATCTGGAACTGGAGGTGACTGCAGGTTCCTGGTACAGGCTTGGGCTTGAGTTGGTGGCACCTGCAGCACAATGTCACAATGTCAACGAACAGATACTTTTGCTCAAAGTGGTGTACATTAGAGAGTTAGTTCAATACCAGTACAATACCAGTAAGAATCCAGAGAAGGATACAGCTTTCAGGTCACGGCTGCAGCTTCCAGGTCATTATCATAGAGTTGGTGGCTGTCGGTTCCTCGTAGAAGCTCTATGTTGAGTTAGTAGATGTTGTTGTGTAGCTAAGGTTGAAATAGGAAGCTTTAGTGCAGCCAATTATCACAGTTTTGGGTGAGGGAGGCTTAAGTTTTAGGCATTAATGATACCTTCAGTTGATGGAGACTGGACTGAGCAGCTCAGCTAGATGTTTTAGGCTTCAGGGAGAGGCTTGAGGTGAAGTTTGTGGTAATGGCTTTTTGATGTTGAAGCTGCAGCTGATATTTACTTTGAGAGTCTGCTGGTAAGAGAATTTACAAGAGATTTATAGCTGGATAGATAACACTGAAAGTGATGCTATGACCTACAGTCCTCAATTAATGGTTCAGAGGCTACAACTAAAAAAAGGTACCTTAGCAACACGGCTTTATAAGTGTGAGTTGTTGGTAGAAAAGCCAGCTTGCAACACTTACCACTTCTGGTAGAGGCGAAGGCTGATATTTTCTGGTGGAGGCTGAGTCCGTGAGGTTTGGAGACTGGAGCTGAAGTTGATGCTGACAAATTCTTTGGTAGGGCTTAAGCATAGGCGGTGGTTCCTGACAGGGAGGGAGCAGGTATATGCTTTGGGTGTGGAGGGTGTGGAGGAAGCCATTTTTCGTCTACAGAGGCCTAGGTTGGCTTGGTTTCTTTTATTCCATATTGTTCGAGGGAGAGGCTGCTGGTGTCTAGCTACTGGCACACTGCAGGACGTGGCCCAAGATTGCTGGCAGAGAGGGAAGGTTGTGTCAATGTGCTTGTAGAGGTTGCAGTTGGAGACAGTGGCTGCTGATGTTTGGCAAGGACTTCAATCATAGGTGATGGCTGCTGATGTTAAGAACAAGTTTGGGTTTAAGGCACTGGCATTCCATAAACAGGTGGAGGCAGCACATGGATTAAACAGATTGGAGATATTTACCTTTGAGCAGGAGGAGAAGAAGGAGGCTGATGGTGGAGGCTGCAGGTGGAAGCAGCCATCTAGAGGCAGTTGTTATTTTTTAGAGGCTGAAGATGGAGGTTGGCAATTGTGCAGCGCTAAGGTGGTAAAAGCTGCTGGCACATGTTGGAGGACAGGATGGAGGCAGGTTCGATACTTTGTTATTTTCAGTCAGGTCAGAGATGGTTGTTGGTCGAGTCAGGAGTTTGGAAGAGGCTCAAGGTGCAGGACGGCTGAGGTGTTTTAAATTGCATGCAGACAGTATTTTGTCTTTTTTTTTCTGGCAGTTCTGAATTTTTTCCCCTTATACTACTTTTCTTATCTTAACTTAAACTAAAGTAACTTAAACTACAGTATTTACAAAATGTACGAGTTTTAACTCAGAGTTAAAACGACAATGTTCACAAGAAGAGAGTGAAGACTTTCATGTCCTCACTCTCTTTCTGGATAAGGTCTTTGGCTGTGGTTCATCGGATATGTCCACGTTGTAGAGGGGTGGATAAACTCCCACCCCGTTACTCGTGTTTACATGGACAAGTCCGTTGTCGTCCACAGATCCACTCGTTCCCACAGCTTCTGCTTGATGTGACGTCCCAGTGCAAGGCTGTAGGGACGCCGACGGCCATTCTTGTACCTGTGGACAGGAGAGGACAGTAGTTCAAATCACAATGTTAGGTCAAGTGTTTCCCATCATGATCTGTTGGACTGGTGAATTCTTGTTTTTGTATCATACATACCAAAGCATGTCATCTACCACGGCGTGGTAGACCTGCTGGTACTCCTCCACTGACTGATCGTGAATTATCAGTGGGCCGTCATCCAGCAGTGGAGCTGTGGGGGGCTGGAACTGATGAACCACAGGGGTGACTTGAGGCAGCTCAGAAGGTGGGACTGTTAACTGAGGCCTTGGGACCAAAGAAAGATCAGCAACTTCGGCATTGGAGTGCTGAGGAACAGGATCCAGGGTCAGCTCTGTAGAATTAGAAGTACGGACCGCAGAGGTCCTCTTCCTCTTCTTAGGCCGGCTGCCGGCAGGAGCTGAATGATGGTGTTGGACAGCCTGCAAAATAAATCCAACAAACAAGATTTCAGGCTCAAATACATTAGAAACAAACTTTTACAATCTCACCAGTTCATTATATTCGCCAATGAAGTTGTGCTAGTTTTGAATAAAGTTTTAACTCAGAGTTAAAACGACAATATTAACAAGAAGACAGTGCAGACTTTCATGTCCTTACTCTCTTTCTGGGTAAGGTCTTTGGCTGTGGTTCATCGGATACGTCCACGTTGTAGAGGGGTGGATAAACTCCCACCCCGTTACTCATGTTTACATGGACAAGTCCATTGTCGTCCACAGTTCACTGAAACTGTGGATCCACTCGTTCCCACAGCTTCTGCTTGATGTGACGTCCCAGTGCAAGGCTGTAGGGATGCCGACGGCCATTCTTGTACCTGTGGACAGGAGAGGACAGTAGTAAATGTACAGGAAGATGGAATCACCTGCTAAACATTGCTGCCGGTCGCACCTCCTCCGGTGCCCATGGGTCAGCTGCAGGGTCATCAGCCAGGAACCACCATTCACCCTGCAGCTGACGGGCCTGACTGATAGATGTTACCCCCTGTTGCTGTTGTTGGGGTTAGGTGTTCTTTCCCCAGCACTTGTCCTTCCTCCTCAGCCAAAGCCAAAAGCTCCCCTTCTCAGCCTCCTCTGCGAGCTCTTTGGTTGCTTTCTTGAGGTTTCCTCCGGTCACTCCTGTGTCCTTCAAGAGGTGTATGGTTGACATCCCCACAAAGCCTCGGCATCCAACCTCCGCTGGATAGATGGTGGTCCTCCAGCCAGCCTCCCGGAGTACTTGGCCTTCTTCCGTTCAAAGGCGGCCTCAATCCCCTCCTCCATTGGCACCGTGAGCTCGATGAGGTGTACGGATTTCGCCTTGGTGGACCACACCACTATGTCGGGCTGGAGAGATGTGGTGGTGATCTCAATGGGAAAGCGGAGCTGCCTGTCTAGGTCGACCCTCATGTCCCACTCCTGGTCGGGGGCAAACGGCCTGGATGTTTCCCTTGGCCTGGTGTTTCTTCTTCCCCCGCCTTCAGTAACAAAGCCGATGTGGTTCCCTACTGGTGGTGACCCTTCGCTGCCCTGTCGCTGCCCCTCAAGCACCTCAGCCAGCTTCCTCAGGACCTGGTCGTGGCGCCACCTGTAGCGTCCTTGGGAGAGTGCGATCTTGCAGCCTGACAAGATGTGCTGAAGGCTTGCGTTAGGTGCACTGCAGAGTGGGCAGCTCTCCTCACTCCCGAACCACTGGTGAAGGTTCCGCGGACAGGGAAGGGTGTCGTAGGTTGAGCGGACAAGGAAGCTGAGTCTTGCCTGTGGGATCTTCCATAGGTCTGCCCACCTGATGTTTCTGTTGGCTACTCCTTCCCAGGTTGTCCAGCTACCCTGTCGGCCCTGTGACATGGCCTTGATCTTGTAGCGCTCTTCCTCCATCCTTGTCACCTCCGCCACAACCATCTCCTTCCTCTCTTTGCGGTTGGCCTTGGACCAGAACCGTGGCGCTTCCCCCCACCCTAGTCCTGCTCTTCCTGCCTGGACTCTGCCAACAATCTCTTGGTGTTGCAGTCGGCCAATGGCTCGGTCGACTTCAGTTTTGGCGTTCCACTTCCGGCCTGTGGGAACCTTGGCATTTGCGTTCCTTACAGTCTGGTCGGTGGACTCTCTCAACTCGAGGACAAGCCTGGTCTTTTCCTGCATGTATCCCAAACTGATTGATTGCAACGGCAGCTGTAGTGTGTTCCTTCCAAAGAGGCCCGTTTCAGAGAGGCACCGTGGCAGCCCCAACCACTTTCGGATGAATGAGTTGGCTTTTCCATCCATCTTACTTGCAGTGGATGAGGGGATCTCACTCATTTTCAGCGGCCACATCACCCTCCTGTAGAGTGTGAACTGGTAGCACCAGACCTTAAACTTCCCAGGGAGCTGGCTTCGGTCGATCTTTGCCAGTCCTTCTGAGAGCTGCTTCATGACGCTTCCTCCCATCTGTTTGTCCGAAAGCTCTGCGGTGTACTGTCTGCCAAGGCTTCTAATGGGTTGCTCAGAGAGGAGTGGGATTTTCTCTCCCCCTACGACGAAGATGGTACTGTCGCTTCGGACTCCTCTTCTGAGGGACAGGCTCCGTGATTTTTAGGGCTTGATCTTCATTCGTGCCCACGACATCAGCTCATCCATTGATGAATGCTAACTTCATAATTAGCTTTCTTACAAGCGTTTCAATCCGGAGAGTCAAGCAGATCCACAACAGTGACAGATCCACAACCCCCTTTGCGCCCCTGCTGGACGGAGTAGGTCATTGCATGACAGATCCACAACCCTCTTTTTAACCGCTGTTCCACATCCTTTTTTTTTTTTTTTTTTTGTGCCCAGAAATTAAATTTAATAAACAAGTTAATAAATAAATAAACAAATGACTGCAGTTTCATATTATTATCAAATCAAAATAAGTCTTTGAAATTTATGAAGAACGTGTTCAGTTCTTGGGATTCGGCCCACTTCCTTTCAAGGATTTGAAATTTATTTTTAAAATAAGTAAGTGCCCACAGTCACATTTTAGATATTAATCTGTTATTAATTTTACAATTTTTTACTGATTATCATCTTTTTATGTATTGTCTGCCAACCTATGATATTTTGGGTTTATTCTACCAAAATATCAACTTATATTATCCCAATATCATAGGGATTGGCCTCGCTTTTATTCTATTCATTCCTTGGCGATGATTTAGACCCCTGAATGCAATAGTATGTGTCTGCAGAGCTCCATGGATGTAATATTTTGTGTGTTTTTCTCGTATATTTTCATGTACAATCTCATGCACATTATTTGTCATCGCACTTCTGCTTCATTCACTACAATGCGAGAAGCCTGTGGGTCAAATAGTACATTTCCGACGAGCTGATGTTAGTATTAGCTTGACCGAGATTCGATGTGCATCTCAGACCATCATGGAAAATGGATAGGGAAAATGTCATTAACGGAGCCTGTCACATTGACATTTATTTCTCTGTCAAATTCAAGACAACAGTTTTATTAATGACTAAAAATTGTGTGATTCACGTTTAATACTCGATCATGATGTCGCCCCATGCAAGCCAATAACTTTCGAGAAAAGCGCATTAAAAAGGGGCGGTCACGTGATTCAGGTTGTGGATCTGTCATGCAATGACCTACTCCATCCAGCAGGGGCGCAAAGACGGTTGTGGATCTGTCATAGTTGTGGATCTGCTTGGTTCTCTGGCTCTGCAGACATTTACTATTGGACACAGACGTTTGCTCCGCGATAGTCCTCTCGTTTTCTCCTGAGCCTGGCCTGCATAGTGGGGCCCCAGGGGCGGAGCTTGGATTGGTTACGTATGACATCTCACTGTATCTGATCCTGTTGTTTGGGTCTGCCAGGGATTCACAGCAATCACAGAGATTCACAGTGATATGAATGCAGAAATGCAATTTTGCACTGCTTTTCTCATGATATATCCTCTAGTATCAGAAAAAATGCCATATGAACATGTAGATAACAAGAAAGACATGATTTTCATCGGAGTGGGTCTTAAAAGGGATGGCTCATTTTTTCAGTGGGGTTGTGTGAGATACTTTTCAGTAGTTATTGTATTACAGCCACAGATAATGTGGGTCACCTTGGCCCCTTTGTAGGGGAATAGCTGAAATACTGGAGTAGAAACTGGCTCCACTAAACACATATGCCGATGTGACATCTGTACATGACAGCGACATTAGTCCCCATTCTCCAACAGGAGAAGAGGAAGAAATAATTGCTGTATAGTCAAACTGAACACTTGAAAAGGAAAATCTGTGATTGCTTTTGATTGTCACTAAGAGTTTGGAGAGAAGTTTACAGTCATCAGTAAATGTTAAATCAAAAAGGCACAAGCAGAGGCACTTTTCAGACCTTTTATCCCCTTTCAGGTTTCTGGGGTCGCTCACCAGAAGAAACACATCAAGGCTGAATCCTTGCTCTTATTGCACTCTGCTGCACGTCTTTTTCATAAACAGCTTTTTCTATTAAATTGAATCAAAATCTTTGAAAAGAAATAAAAAAAAACTGCCTCTGTGGATTAACAAACTGTCTGTTTTTCAAAGAGCATATCAGTCAAACAGAATTTCATTTTGAAAGAGCGTCTTTATTTAAGTATCTCATAAGCCAAAACTTCAAAACCTTTTTGGGTAAAAAATCTTGTATGGTGCAGTTCCTGCCCTGGATAACTGTCCATGTCCTAAATTAAGCTAATTAATGAATGTCCTTTGTGTCCCTTTCCAGCCCCTGTAGCATCTGCTCTGAGCGCCCGTTATAGCCACCGCTCTGTGGTGATGGTGGGAGGACTAATATGCAGTTTAGGAGTCATGTTGGGGTCTTTTTCTCGCAACTTGATTGAACTTTATCTGACAGTGGGGTTCTTAAATGGTGAGTCTTTGCATTTAAACACATGAATCCAGATCAGACTTATTAGAGAGCATGCACACGGTTTGAAATCTGCTGTTTTCTCTCCTGCAGGTTTTGGCTATGCCTTGACATGGACCCCTACAGTCACCATGCTGGGTCTGTATTTTGAAAAGAGGCGCCCAGTAGCAAATGCATTGGCCAGTGCTGGAGAGTGCATCCTTACTTTCATCCTCACACCTCTGTTCCAGCTTTTGATTGACAGCTACTCCTGGAGAGGGGCTTTGCTGATCCTGGGGGGGCTGCAGCTCAACCTGTGTGTGTGCGGGATCCTGCTCAGGCCCCTCAAAGCCCCCAGAGATGTGACATGTGAGGTCAAAGCACAGGAGGAGTGCTTGTCCCTGGAATTGCTATCAAAAGACAAATCGGAGAGGCCTCATGAGAGCAGGAACTCTGATAACATAGAGGCAACCAGTACTGGTCTCCAGGACTTTGAAGAGACACAGAATCCAGCCATGACAGACTCGAACAACAGGACAAAGAGAACTCAACTGAAGACAAAAATCCTCCTCTATGTGGATTACACCCTCATCACTAACCCCCGCTTTATGGTCTACTCAATGTTCGGGGTTTTCGCAGCTCTGGGTTTCTTTGCTCCGGCTCTGTTCCTGGTTCCTTATGCTCGGAGTAAAGGGATTGAAGAGTACCAGGCGGCTGCACTCATGTCCATCTCTGCAGTGTTGGACCTCTTTGGAAGGGTGTTCTTTGGCTGGGTGGCAAACTTGAGACTGGTGCAGACAGTAAGTTCAGTCTGATATTGATTCTGAGCAACAAAACATTCAAACATTTGCATAGAAAAAAGATTAAAGAAAGAGTCAAGCCCCGGAAATGTCATGAATTGCAAATTGCCAGTCATTAAAGCAAAGGGAAAGTTAAACATTTTAGGAAATACCTACTCTGATATTCTCTTGACAGTCGGATGATCTGCACGGAGAATATAATACCACACCTACCTGCAATTAACATCACTTTGCTTTTATACTGACAGTAGAGAAATCAGCCTGACTGGCTCTGAACAAAGGGAAGTTCAAAAGCAGAAACTTTCAGGACACGCTGTCAGCTTGTCATACTTTGAGGGCTAAATGAGAATGATGATTATCAGTGGGAGGTAATGCAAATTAGAATACCAACAGGGTGAACAAGACCTTGATATGAAGTGGACAGCCATTGTCTGTATAAGTTAAAATTTATCACCTCCATTTTTAGTAGTCCATGTAAAAACATCTAATACTCCCATTCTCTTGAGGCTAATCTGAGATTTTTTGCCACAGTGGGATCTGTGCATGACTCTGTGATGGTTTGATGAATCATGGCATCCAAATGAGTATTCAGCACATCCGGGTTAAGTTGCTATATAAAGAACATGCATGAAAAAAAAATGGGATCACTGTCCATCATGTGTGTCAATGTCTCCACCAGGTGACACAGCTAACAGCCACAGTGATCCTGCAAGGCACTGTGGTCCTCCTCTGCCCTTTGGCTTCCTCCTTCCCTGAGCTGGTCGGTTTCAGTGCAGCGTACGGCCTCGTGTACGGCGCAACAGTCGCCATCCATATCACCGTGCTGGCTGAGCTTGTTGGCGTCCACAGGCTGGGGAGTGCGCTGGGATTCTTCATGCTCATACGCAGTAGCGGAGGCCTGCTTGGACCACCAATTGCTGGTGAGTGAATAAGATGCTTTGATAGTCAACTGCAAGTACAGGCTGTTCCGACTGTGCATATCAGAGAAGAAATGGATTTCAGCTTTAGGTGGCTGCTTGAAAATTCCCTGTGATCTGTTTCTCCATGATGACTGTCTGCAAGCTTCAAATATACAGGAAATTGTAGTGAGTCAAAAGAGACTTCTGTTTCTTTCCAATATTTCTGTAAGCAATAAAAGAAAATCCAATAATCTTCAAGGTTACAATGACATTTTCTTCTGGCACATTAAATCTCACACAATTGATGTGCTTATAGATCGTTCTGCATTGTAACTGCAGCTCAGTGAGCCTATTCAGCCAAAATGAGAATTTTACACCTCTATGACATTGCAGCGCCGCCCTTCAATTAATCATCACTTTTGTCAATGATCCATCCCGCAGGATCCGGGAGCTTTTATTCAGAAAGCAAATGTGCAAAAATTATGATATCACGCATTTTTATGGTAGTGTTAATTTCACAGCCGGTTGCTTTCCAAAGATTCTTTTCTCCTTTAAATTGAGATTTTTCCCTAAATGACTCTCCTTTCTGCTTCATATAAGACCTGTCCATAGTCATACATCATGTCCTTCAGAGCATTAGAACAAATGAAACACCGCACTGGCAAACAAAAGGAGCTGAGAAATCGGAGACACTTTGCTTTACTGGCCTATTCAGATCTGGAGTTTTGGCCACCAGAGGTCAGTGTTAATGAGCTGTTAAAAAACACAGACCACTTTGGTTTAGTTAATCAGGCTGTGGCTTTGTATACAAATTAAATTTATATTGCTGGATCCTGCGTATGAGTGTAGAATCTGCATAAGAAGGGTAAGATATTTTTGAATCAAGAATGTTCTGGTTTCCATTTTCGGGAGTGTTTTCATCCACAGGCTGGAAGAATATTATTTCAACCTCCACAACCCATTTGTCATCATTTTATAAGGACAGTTCACCTCCAGAATTAGTTTATGGGATGCACTTTCTTCCATCCCAAAAAGTTGGCTGCAAATTATTTACCAGTGCACTAATCTATCAACATAAACAGAGAGAGGATTTATGTGCAAAGCTGTTTAACTCAGAGGACTGTGCTCGAGGCGGTCAAATGAGGTCATGAGGTCACATCATGTACTTGATAATGGTGATATAATATTGCCACAGTTTTGGGCTTATAAAATCCTTTTTTTTTTTTTTATAAAACCTTTTTTTTCATCTGAGCTGCTTCTCATACATCTGTGCAAAGCAAGCCAGAGACAAAGCATTCGGACTGTTTTTAAATCACTTTTTTAACATTGCTCTCTCCATGATTTGGATAAAATCATCCATCAGTAGTAAATCAGACTTGTAGAGACTTCTGAGTGTGAGACAATAAATGGCCAGCAGAGGAGGTTGTGGTGAGTCATCGCGAATCAGATATTAGCAGTGGGTCTTGCTGTACTTAGCAATAATTATTCTCACATTATTACTACCTTAGGTTGTGCATGTCTAGTGAACAGGTAGCTGGCTGTATGGCAAAAGCAGAAAGTGCTAGAAAGAGCTACACATCTGTAAATAACTGCACAGTGCTGAATGCAATGGAAGTCTTTGTGTGGCAGGACAGTTATAACCTTCTTCCCTCTTGAACCCTACCAGGACAAACTGCTCTTTATATTTGGATTTTACTGCCAGTGATTCAATCTGGTAGAGAGCTGGTTTGATTGGGGGAAAAAAAAAACAAATGACAGGTGAAGATTGGCGACACAGTGGGAGACAAATTGGTTGCAGGTAGTGGGTCTTTCTGGACTTCACAGCTACCAAGCTGAGCTCAACAACCATACTGGGAGCTAATCAGGCAGCAAAATCTGCACAGCACAAACAGATGGTATATTAAAAGGCTACATACCTGCACAGGAACTGCACACTGTGGTCTGAGCTGAAAGCAATAAATATCACCATACTGAGGAACAATTTTAATGTTTCTTTTTTTTTTCAATGAGAGAGTGAAAAGGGGATTTGAGGACCTCTTAAAACTGTGGGGTCTGCATCTTAAATACCAGTGAGACTCACAATCCAGATCCATAACCATAGTCTTTTGGTCTGTAGAAACACTCTTCTACATAGTGTCAGTCATACATAACCAACTCCATCCTTATTCCTAAAGTTTCTAGTGTGACTTTCTATGAGGTCACAGAACTGTTTCAAGCATTTTCTGCAGACTCTAAACCTGCAGAGAGACCACAAAGATTCACCTGCAGTTCAGGCCACTGGATAAATGCAGGTCAATATTAGCCCTCCTTTGGGATTTTTTCGCTTTTTTGGCAACCACCAACTCTTTCAGTGAAATATCATGCTCTTCAGTAATTGAATATCTCACTTTGTTCAACAGCAAGTAGTTAAATATTAATGTCTGCCTTTTGGTGCAAGTAGAAGGTTTGTTAATTTGTTTTCTTTTTTGGCTGATAGTGAAAAATATCTAAGCTATGGGAGTGGGCCACAACAGGACAATTTTGAGGTATAAATCCACCCAAAAATTGAGCTGAAAGGTGCTGAAATACTCAGAAGATATCAGGAAACTCATGTGGCTGATTTTCATCATCAAAACTTTGTCGGAGAGAGTACGTAGAGTTTTAAAAAGCATTTTAAAAAATCCCCAGAGAAGATTAAAGTGAGATGCAGCAAAGCTTTATTCTATTTCAGCAAGTAAAGACATTTAAGATACATATAAACCGAGTGAGCTCCTGAGCAGACTGAAGATTTAACCACCGAACCCTTCTTTTATAATGTTTTTGTCATATTCTTGTGTAATGGTTGGAGGAGAACATCACACCTCTTCATTGCATTATGAATGCAGTTCTGGCCAAAATCATAAGTATGATGGGCTCCTGTGCAAATATTGTTTGGACCCTTTATGCACCTAACAGATCTGCGTGCCTATATGTGCACACAAGCGCACAAATGCACAAACACATGAAGCAGACAATTTGTGTCACTGTGTAGAAACTCACAGTGCAACTCTCATCCAAACCAGCCAATGATCAGAACCACAGACAGCAGCTGTAGAGACACATCATATCTACCAAATCGCCTCAAACTGCCACAGCTTGATCAAAACATCTGAAACAGCTTTAAACACCAGAGAGCTACAAACATAAAACACACAACCAATAGAAAAGCACCTGAGTTTGTCATATGCCGGCACATTATGGATGACAGCCCCCTGGTACCATAACTTTTCTCACCGATGGCACTGGAGCCAGATTTGATCAGACACACAACAGGTGCACAGATCCCAACATATTTGACATTACAGTCTATTAATGTCAATCTAAATTCTATCGAATCCATAAAAATGGGAAACCTCGACTTCATCCTGCAGGCCTTGCACTCAGCAAAGTTTGTGGCATCACTCGTTAAGGTCAAATTTTGGCTTTAATGTTTTCTATTATAAGTAATCCAAATCCCCAACCCCAAAGTGGCCTAAGACTTATTTATAACTGTCAAAAGGTGGTACTTTTAAAGCTGGTGTAGATTTTTTACAATCCTGCAAGAAAATCTGTGCCACGTTTTTGTCTCGACTGTCTCAGTCCAGAGTAAAAAAAAAAGGAATGGACCCAAAATGCAGATCAAAACAGGATTTAATTAAAAGGAACAAAAAGAAAAGCAACAAAAACCTACTAGCAAATGTCCAACTCAAAAAAATCCAAAATCCAACAAAGGACAAAGGCACTGGGGGAAAAAAACACTTGGAGACACTGGAGACAACAAAGACACACATTCACAATGAACTAACAAAGAAACAGGGGAAGACAAGGACCATTTATATATATATATATATATATATATATATATATATATATACACACACACAGGGAAATGAGCAACGAGAGGCAGGTGAGAGACAATTGCTAAGGAGGAAAACTGAGGAAGTAAATAAAGACTAGAAACAAAAGGAATAAACAACTTCAAAATAAAACAGGAAACACTGAAAACTGATATAAGCAATGAAACGCTGAGAACAAGAGGGAACTGGGGTCAGACACAAACTTAAATCTCAAAAGACAGGACTACAGGGAAACAGGAACAATAGGGAACAGAAACACGAGGGAAAATCACAAAGAAAATACACTCCAGGGAAACACAAAACCAGGGAAAAACTAACTCAAACAGAACATATCGTGACAGTTTTAAGGTATGGGCCAGAGTGCATTAATGCTTACATCAGTGCCCATAACTATTACACTCCCCCCATCCCTGTGCACCTCTTCTGGGTCAAATGTCGGTCAAACACCCTCTCTCCAGAGAACTCAGAGAAACTTTTCCTGGGCCTGTCTTTTTTTTCCCCCTCTTTATATGCCTCTTTGCTCCCACAGTGTATTTGACTCTGAAAGACATAAAATATGGATCAGCATAGTTCAAACTAAGAGCCTGCATCACAAAAGGACTGAACTGCTTTTGCATCTGCTAAACCTGCTGTGTGAAAGGACTGTAAAGACTAATTCACAAATGTTGCACACAAAGAGTTACATGTTCCACAATCTGCATTGAGCAAACAGTGTCACTGTTACAGTGTTGTTCATGTACATTAAAATGAGACATTATGTATCAAGTTGGAGCAAAATATGACCTTTTCTGTGAACACTTTTCTCAACAACAAAAAAAAGTTTTTTGGTGACATTACTATGGCAGATAAATAAATCTTTATTTCAATAGATATCACCTAACATGGTCATGCACAGGGATGCTGACAGAGATTAGGGGGCCTTCTTCACTAGCATCACTGAAATGATGCAGCTGAGTAAAGGTAGGGTCTCCAAAATGTGCTGGTTTGAAACACCTGTCAACTCCCAAGTCACTGAGTAGTTGCGGTTGCTTTAATCAGTCAAACCACTGCTGAGCAAGACGAGTTTGTACAATGTCATCCCAGCTGAGCTTTAACCTGCAGAGCTCTTGCAGGATCCTTTTAGCTGGCAGAAGCGCTGGTGCTAAGATACCCAATGGATGGTAGATGGAGCTCACCAGGGAAAGGAGGTTTCTTCTGGTGGGCGGTTTTGACTTGGACTACGATTCTGAAACGGAAGTGTTACGGAACCCTGATGTAAACGACACCCAGCAGTTGGCCATGCTTCCTTCAGACCCTTTGTGTACGCCTGGTAAACACTGGTACTCAGCGATGCACGTTCTGGACACACTGAAATCCGCAACATGTCACTCCTCGTTAGTATAGTGGACAGTATCTCCGCCTGTCACGCGGAAGACCGGGGTTCGATTCCCCGACGGGGAGAGTATTCCTTTGCTCCAGCAGCTGATTTTAAGCCCACTAAGACCGGGGGCTTGGAACTCATCCTGCTCTCCAGCCCAGGTCAGCTGACAAACTCTCAGCCTTCCATCCTACAAAGGAGGAGGTCAAAGGAATGTGATTGCATGCAAAGAGGGCCTCAATCTGCCAGAGGAAGAAACAAGAAAAGGAAAAAAGTGATGAGAAATTCTGACTGGGACTCAAGTTAACCCCTCTCTACCACCGAACCCTATTCGATGGCGTACACAGAGAAGGACAGAAGATGGATTCCTTGCCTTTAAGCCGGGCCTGCTAAAATGGGATTTGGGAATGTTATGGGAGGGCCTCTGATGACAAAGTGTCTTTCAGCCCCTTGAAGTCAGTACTCAAGCGGGTTTAAGTGGGCAGCCATTGAGCGCTTGAGTAGAGCAGGAGGGTACATCAATATGTTCCCGCCCGGTTTCGAACCGGGGACCTTTCGCGTGTGAGGCGAACGTGATAACCACTACACTACGGAAATTTACAGGACAAGTGGGAAGGGTACGCAGCCCCGAACTCACCTGCTTTCCAAATGCCAAGATTTCAGATGCTAACAAACAGTTTTTTCGATTGTCGTGGGTTCTAAATACAGTTCCGTAACTTGACTTCTTCTTGCAATGAAACGGCGTGGATCCTAATTTCTGCAAATGTTCTTATCTTTCTTCAAGCCCCTCAGTTATTGGCACTTTCATTTTCTCATCCATACCACGCCCTTAAGATCCACAAAATATAAAATTGGAAAAGTAATCCATAAGTAGATATAAATTTCCATGAAAATATAAAAATCCATCTCAAAATTATGACATTTTACACTAAATTTCTCCCTACTCTCTGATTTTAAAGGGATATTCACTGGAAACACATTGTATGACCAAGTTAGACACCCCCTCGAGATATGAATGCTACAGACTGCTTGCTTCTCTAGTTATACCAACTTAAGTAACAACCGCACGATAGCAATACACGGTGGTCTGAGGAGCCACGTGCGCACCTCAACCAACCACTCTGTAGCCACAAATAATGCTCAGAACAGCACCTAACTTCATCAAGATTACATATAGGGTCCTAGCCACCAAACATATTTTTAACTTTGTCTGATTTCTTTAGCAAAGAAACTAAACACAACTCACCTACTCTCTTCCAGCGGCCGCTTGTTTGTAGGGAGAGCTCAGACGAGTCCATTACCGACTGCAGTGGGGTTACACAGCTCAAGGAAGAACATTTATGATAATTTCTTCAGACTGAGACACTAAGGCAGAAGAAGTACTGCGTCTGCAGTGGAAAATGGTTAATATGATGATTATTACTTCAAGGCTCTGTAGACCACTGTGTATTGTTATTGTGCGACTGTTACTAAAGTTGGTATAACTACAGAGGCAAGCAGTTGGCGACATTCATCTCTCGGGGGAGTGTCTAACTCGGTGTTACGGTGTGTTTGACCCTAACTTAATTTTACGCCGGAATATCCCTTTAGCTCTTTACAGTGAGTCCTTACTTTGGTAATATGATTACTAAGACAGATGCATTAAGATGTGTGATTCATCCCACTGTCTTTACACTCAACAATACATGTGGGCATCCTTCTATATATTCCTAAAATATATGCCAATCTATTACACTGTATGAAGAAAAACAACAAGAAATACTTCGGAAAAATTCAAACTTTAACTCGAACATTTTGCCCCTGATGTTCACATCCAGCAGAGTAAAAGTCTTGTCTTCTTGCCCTCTCAGTGAAAACTATCTCACAGTGCAGCCACACCCCCCACAGCACTGTCCTACACACCAGCAAACATTTGAACCTGATTACTAAGGTTACGACCCATTTTCACACATATCTCCAAACAATAGCAGAAAATACAGCCTGAAAAACATCCGGCTTGACTTTGGCAGCCGGGCACAGCACCTCCTGCCAGAAAGTGTCCTGCCTGAGTGCAAAAGCAGCGATAAATCAGCTGGGAAACCTCTCCAACAGAGTGGAAAAATAACACATTCACATAATTGTGGTTTGGATTCATTTGATTGTATTCAAGGGTTTCCAAGAAAAGTGTTTGCAGGAATGAGAGAGATTTTGGTTTAGGCTGCTTTGTTTTAGTCAGCATGATACAAATGTAGAGAGGCTTGGGTTTTTGTTCTTTTTAGTTCATTTTTCACCCACAAATCGTGTCCTTTATGGCTGGTGTGATAACGAAGGAAGGCTTGCAAACATTTAAGAGGCTTGTAATCTCCCTCCACTTGTAATCATTCATTTTTAAACTTAGCATCTCCATTAGTCTTTGTTTACTGGGTTTCTGAATACTCTAAGCTGAAAGAGTAAATGGCACATCATATAAATGTTAGGCGTGCAATGGTACTAAAGGGTGGGATTGACCTCAAATAAAGACCTAATTAAAGTGAAGTATTTATAACTTTACATGGTGCCACTGACACAGAGGCTATTTCTAACTTATTTACTGTGACGCTCAGTCCTTTGCTCACTTTGAAGAGCAGAGAGTCAATGGATGTTAAGGATTCATCAAAGCTTTCTAATTATGTTTCCTTCACAGGAGGACAGAAAAGGCTTTTCTGCCCTAGGATGAAATTCACATTGATGTTCATGTAATCCTCCTTTTCCTTATCTCTGCGTGAGTGTTTTACTCGTTCATAACCATCTTTAAATGAAGATACATTAATGGTAATCTCACAGAGGTTTGACTGAGTTATTGTAGTCAGAGGTTAATGATGTAAACCTTCATAATCTCAGAGTTCCAGGATTCTAACGGTGAAGGACTGAGAAAGTTGCCCAGTTATTTTAGTTTCAAAGATTCAGAAATGGGAGGAAATGAAAATGTGAAGCCATCTTAGGTGCCCTGTCTGAGGTTTTCTTTTTAAACTCCAAACAAAAGGCATCATGGATAAATACGTGAAATGTGTCAACAACATATATGAAATATGCTTTTCAGTAGCTTTTCAACTGTTTGTCTTTCATAAAAGAAAAAAAAACATGTTGGACGTTAGCTAAGTGATTCCAAATGTTGTTAAACCATAAAATGGCTGATTTTCATCACCTTGTGTAGCTAACACATAAGAAGGATTGAAAAAATAATGAGATTTTCCATGATGAAGGTCCTGTGTCCAATAATAGCTTTAATTTTTTATTTATTCAGGAGCAGCATCCACGACCCGACCTGGTGTCCTAGACTTTTTCACTTTGGTTCACTGCATTTTTCTGGGGGGTGTTTGCAATGGTCCTATATTAAAGTGCCAATGGAAGTGACAGTGCAGACTTACAACCAATCAGATTAATGCAGCATGTGATGAAGTGCATGATAACATAAAGTTAAACAGACATGACATGCAGATCTCGCCCCCTGTCTAAATAAGAGACTTTAGTGGGGTCATTATGGATCCAGATCCAAACCGCCAGTAAGAATGAAACTGCAGCTGTGAAAAGTATCAAGACATCTTTTTGTTTTACTTTTAGGATTCTTCATTGATAAGATGAGCGATTACGGGACGGGTTTCCTCATGGCAGGAGTGGCTCTCATCGTCTCTGCTATGTTCCTGCTCCTCCTCCACCAGATGAACCACAGGGCTCAGAGGTCAACCACCAAGAACCAAAACACATTCAGAGCTGAAGCCAAAGAGCTGGACATGACCTGAAAGAAACACACCAAACACACTGCCTTAATATATATGTCTGTGATTATGTGGATGATTTTGTGTCTGTATCTCCCTGTAACACAGACTAAAGAGTCTGTTAACGGGGAATTACAGTCACGGTTTGCAGCTAATCTGTCCTGTTTATTATCAATGAAAGCACTGAGGAGGGAGGAAATGTAGCATGAGCAGAATCATTAAAGTCAAACCGCTAGTGCTTTTACATTTATGCATATAAATTGGCTGAGTGGTTGTATAATCAAGCGTATATGTAACCCTGTATGGGACATAGAAATTAAGTTATTTAAAGCTGATTGAGAGGAACTCTTACAAGAGGCCAAGGCCTGGTGTCAGGGCTGAAAACTGAATCCCAAACCTGAAAAAATGGATTTCATACACTTTGCAGGGCCAGATCATAACTAAAAAAGACATGGTTTCAAGGCTGCCTTTTGTATCAGTTGTAATGGAACAAAACTAGAAATCTTCTCACACATTCGGCAGATATGGCAGATCAACTTCAGCAAAACACTTGTGGCTGTGTAGTGTTGCCAAGGCCCAGTAGTTTTGAGCATGTTGGTAATCCCAGACTTTTTCCAGTGTTTACATCAGCACTGCAACTTTAAGGATAAGCAGAGTGATTGCTTCCACTGTTGTACCCTATGTAATGGCAAAATAATACGGCTGATGTTGGCCGCCTTTTAGTGGCTGTTTTTGCACTGTAGAGGTCTTGTGCATCTCAGAGTTATTTATATTCCCCTTAATGGGCTGAATGCATCTGTTGAGATGATGAAATAAACTGGATGTGCTGCTGCCTATAACTGCATCAACCTTTGAACAAACATCACAGCAGACTGTGGTTTGATAGAGGTCGGACAAAGCAACAACTATCAAGACTAGTACTGTCCTTATTTTGGAATAAGCTCATAACCAATGCATCTTTGTAGTAAGTAATTGAGCAGGGAGGGTGTGAACTTTGATGAAAATCTAGTGCGAATTTTCAGATAAAATTTCTTTTTTTTCCTCAACCACAAATACAAATCTATCAATAAATTGATTTGTCACCCATTTTAGATACTGTTTTTTTTCATTGGGGTGGATTCCTGGTTCAGGTAATACACTCTTAGAAACATGAACTATAAATGTGTAAATATCCCCACCAGGGAGATTTAATGAGTTTGATTTGGCCTCAAATATAAGGTTATTAAATGTGTGCTCACCCGTTAGAATGGCTTTTATAATGAAAGGCTGCAAATAAGTGTCACTTTTGACAAAGCTGTGATTTGTTTTGGGTAGTAAAAACATTTTTTATAGTTTGTCACTCATGCCAAAATTGCTATGTAGTTCTTCACATGTACTTATTGAACATTACACACACTGTCCTACAAAGTAAACTGCAGCTACTGAATATTAATGTCACTCAGGTGTTTTTTTAGATTTTAGTGTATAAAAGGCTGAGAAAAAAACTACTGTTTCCTTTGTGTCATTGTTTTATAACTATTAAGTGAAGTTCAATGTATTTGGCATACAGTATGGAGACAAACGCTTGGTTGCAGAGTGAAAATGTGGCTGCAGCACCCTCCAGTGAAAAGCCACTCATACTGCATTCATAACCTGCACAGCTGCAGGAACAAGCTAAAGGATTTGTGCAGCATCAAAGGATTGGTGCACATTAAGATATGAACCAAAGCAACCAAACTGCATTATGTTGAACTACAAGCTTTGTATTAATGCATTATTCATGATGCTGCAAGTTAATGTTTTAAGTGTGCAATAAGTCACATGCAAGCTTTGAGAAACAGTCAGAAATGTTCAAACTGGGTGCAAGAAAATGAATTCCTAATGGTTCAGTGAATTTCAATCCCCTAGTGGCCTGTAACTTGGTGAGAAAAACCTCTCTTCATTTGCCTCCTCTGCTCTACTGCAGAATGTTTGGTATGTGCAACCATCAAGAAAACAAGCTTTCATAACCTGAGCCAACCAGAGGGAGCATATAAACATCTTCAACCTGACATAATATGCTTATAACATATCTAAATAAACATGTCACTCTGCATAAATCTGCAATAACAAACTCCAAACCCAGGTTTACAAACAGTGGCCCACACTGAAACCAAGGCACACAAACAGTAAACTCAGACAGGGATAAACATGGATGACAGAAAGCGGGAAAACAAGCTGGTCACGGCATGAGAGCGGGAACAAAAGTACCACAAACCTTTGATTAAACAGACAGAAACAAAGACATAATCCATGTTTCTTAAAGGCTCAACATAAAACCAAACATACTGTGTGCAATGGTAGACTGGCACCAGACCTCCAATTATCAGAGAGGGGGGGAAAGGTTCAGGATAATCAGAGGTTTCAAATCCTTCAAATGAAACTATGAGCAGGTTTGATCTTTCAATTGTGTATCAGCCTGATAGCAATCCTCTAACCTCTGTTTGCTGTGCTGCACATCATAATGAAAGACTTAGCAACAAAAAACCCACCGAGATAATGAGCCGCAGAAGGAAAAAGATGCAGCTTTTCCCTGTTTTTAATAGTAACAAATGAATATATGTACCTGAAAATGAAACAGTGTTAACTTCACCATCAATGTTATTTCTTAGCCTTGCATGAGGAATATGAAAACAGTTTAGGATGTCAACTTTGGCCCTCGAAGAAGCCTTCAAAACACAGAAAATAGCTAATGATGTTAATGTGATGTTGTGAAAATTTTAGATTTTAAGTCGAAGTTTACATTTTAAACAGTTTTTAACAGGATCTGAGAGTCTGGAGCTTTGAGGTGTAGCTCTCTATAAGTATATCTGATTTTCCACCCTGTTGCCGAGGTGGGGAACTAACATCTCTTCAGCAACAAGCCTCCCGACTTCGATCTTTCCCAGGATCACATTTCCACCCTCTGGTTCCCAAGCCAAGTCCGCACACACCGAGCTCCACTCCACGTGTCCTTAGGAGGAATAAAGAAAACTTCCTGCTGTGATCAAGGGAAAAATACAACTCTGTTTTAAATGAAAATGCAGTCAAGTTTTTCTCTCGAGTCCCCTTCATTTGCATGTCAAACACCGTATGACTGTTACAAATTTAAATCAAATATCTAAAGATCATCACCCTCCACTGGATCTGTTTATAGGGACTTTCAGTGGGGCCAAGTGGTCTCTCAGATGACTGACAAAAATTGTTGAATATCTGTCTTTTCTGTGTAGCTCTACCTGGCAACTTATAATGCACAACACCACAACAACAGCAGCACCTCCAAGTGGACTCAAATCCCGCCACCCCTACAAGAAGGCAGCACAAGAGACACTCAATTCCACCTCTGAGGACATCTCCTTGGAAGCAGGAGTGGCAGTCGGTAACTTTGGTGTTGGTGTTTATTATGAACTCTATTTTGTTCTTACTTGGACTTACTCATACCTTTGGCACATTAGCCAATTAAACTAATACATGACTCTTTACGACTGTTGAAGTCTGCCCCTGCTGGTCACAACAGGGAATACATATCACAGATTTCCCTCCTCAGATCCAAAGGCTGTGTATGTTTCTTTTCCACAGTGTACGCCCACACTCGGCTGTGTTGCTGTGTTTGTGTGTGTATGGAGATTGAGAGAGAAGAAGGATATTGCTTTGTCTACATTTGACCTTTCCAACATCAACTCCAATAAAGCAGCAAACACAGGAAGAGCTTTGAAGTCGAACAGGACTTACTGATGGGCCTCTCAGCTGCTTTGACCCCACAGTGGAACCCCCGGGCTCAGGGTCGCTATAGAAACAGCTGAAATAGTTTTTTTTTTTTTTTTTTCGTTTTTTTCTTCTAGCTTCTTTGCAGCCAACCTTGCTCCCGAGGGTCATGGTGAGGAATGCTGCACAGCTACCTGAGTTCAAAGCACTCAGTAGCAGGACAAGAGAGAGGTGAAGTGACAGGAGAATGAGGAGGAGGAGGAGGAGGAGGAAACATAGAAATGGGGAGCAAGAAGGGGAGGAAAGAGATGAGAGCATGTGAAAGACAATAAAGCAGAGGGGAGAAAGTTGGAGGCATGGGGAGGGAGAGTAAAACAGAGGAGAAGAGAAAAGGTGGGAAAGTGACAGCAGGGAAGAAAAGACGGAGAAAATGGTGATAAATTAAAAGCGAATAGGAGAGCAAAGTGTTGTGGAAGAATGAAAATGGAGTATTCAAAGGAGCCCCTCAGAGGAAGCTGAGTTCAGTCAGACTCTATACTGGTTCAGGCTCTAACAGGATATAGAATGATGAGAAAGAAATAAAAGAGGAGCAGCAAAGCTCAGGCATGGCTCGAACCTCCTCACTGATTAGAAGAAAAGTGACAGACATAGTGGTAATGAGAAACGATCGGAGCAGCTACAGGGGGTTCAACTTAATGAGCATTACCAACAACATGACTCACACACACACCTCCTCCATCTACCGCAGGCAGGCAAACACACACGCTGAAACAGGTTGGTGCATTACATAAGGACAGGAGAATTAAACCAGAAATTCAGAAACTTCAGTACTGCAAATGTCCATTTGAGGCAGGGTCCAATGATACACAGGGGTCCCCCGTTGTACTTTATACACATCGTTTCCACTCATATATCTGCAGGGTGTATGTAGCTCCATATAAACCAATGATACCCATAGTGTCCAATGCAAGGACGTCCATTTCTCTATGAATGGACAGACAACCAAAGAATAAGCATGATTAAGCATATCTGAGGTAATTCAGACCAAAGTACTGTGGAGAGGAGGAGGCCGATTATTCACATAAGAAGAGAGAGATTTTCAGTTCCCTCGCCCCCATGCACATACATGAGTGGAATCCTGGGAAAGAGGCACAGCGGCCTTCCTACTCGTTCATATTTTTGTCCAAAGTTGTTGTACAAACAAAAACAAATATGATTTCATGTTGCTTCTATCACGTTTGCACACTGACTGAAAAACATTCATCGATCATAATTACTTTGTGTGTGTGTGTGTGTGTGTGTGTGTGTGTGTGTGTGTGTGT